ATGCTGAAGTGGCGCTGCCTCTGGTCTTCATTGCTGATGTGGCATATGCCACCTGTCTCGACTGCTGATGTGGCATTGTCCACGCTCTCTACATAAGGTGACTGGTTGTGAGGAGGAGGAAGATCGGGATCTGTGGATGAAGGAGGTCGGGTACTCACCTGAGCTTGACGTCGGCACGGGAATCTGCTATGTCTTCATGGTCTTCACGAGATAAAGTGCCACGTGGCACTATTGTGTGTGATCAGGAATATACTTATTATCATTGTTGACGTGGAGAGGGAAGAAGCCCGGAGAAGAAGAGGGGTCTGAAGGGATTATTACTGTGTGATCTTTCATCTTCTCCTTTGTCTATCCCCCCTCAACTCTCTTCTTGTGATGGTAATGAGATACTGTTTGAGATATCACTTCACGATTTGGAGACTTTGATGCAGATAATGAGACTACTGATGTTTGACGACTTCTGAGTATCTGCCAGACTGGGTTCATTACAGAGACATGAAGGTGATGCATATTGCCGTGCGCCTTATTAGGTGGTGGCCAGGGTATAGTGTAAAGGTGTTGGCCGGAAAAGGTGCATGGTGCGCACACCGAGCAGCATAGCACTATATCTGCGGACGACAAAGAAGCTCTGCAGCCGCCACAAAATATACAAAACTCCCTAATGAAGTTATGAACAGCATTCAAAGTTCAAACAGCGCATGCGATCCTGAACAGAGACAAATACATGGAAGGGTTGATAATGATTTTGATCATGATTTTGATCAAGATGCATGTTGAAGACTAACTTCATAATGACTTCAAGGAGTCCCCGCAGTGTTTCTGGTCGGTCTGGTTTTGGCCTGTTCTTGCATATCCATATCCCATGGCTTTATAAGTAAGTGATTGACATTGGGTGTAGCCTTTGTGGGGCTTCTCTATCTGGGAGCTTTTTCAATCTTTAACTATATTGTGGAGTCTGGTAGAAGGGGTGCGCTTCTGCATCGATCGTAAGTACTGCCACTAGCCAGTGTCCCGAAGAGTCTCCCCCTCCCTCTCCCCCCTCCCAC